CTCTCTCTCTCTCTCTCTCTTTCTCTCTCGCACGTTGCTCGTTTCTCCTGTCGCCAGCAGTTAGCGCGTACAGCAGCTGTTTGTCGCGTCACGTTTATCACTCGTTTATCGTCGATCGATCTATCGTGCTTGCCTCTGCCCCATTTGCCAATGCCGTGTCTCTCTCTGTTTCTTTCTAGATCTTGAGTCCGCAACCGCCAGTTACGTACGATCCAATGACATTCGCCCAAATGAATCAATTTGGAGCGCAGCTTTACGGTGTAAGCAACCCCCAGCGAGTCTTCCCTCTCCCCCCGTGCGAGTTTGGTTTCGCCTTGCTCGAATAGTAACACTCCGCGCTTAATCAGCATCAGCGATCACTTACTAATGATCAATCGTTAAACCTCGATAACCGAGTTTCTTTTCTCATCTCCACGTCATTTCGAGTGGCGCACATGTATCTTGAGTTGGAACACCACGTGCACTTCCATATAACTCAGTATCGTTGGATGCGACGATCCAATAGACCTCACCACCGTCTTTTTTGTCAACGAGCCACGATTACGAGCGGTTGCACCCGTGTTATAGCCCGATGAGCCTGCAGAATTTTGGTAGTCCCTAACGACGTGCATCACAGAACAAATACAGGATTCCTCGACAATCTGTATCTTTCGCTAATCCGATTCCGTTAGCTGCTGAGAGTTAGATAACGCCGAGTACACACGGTAGTTTCTGCTAACTACAGTAGTACTAGTTACTAGTAGTCTCTAGTTACTAGCAGTAGACTACTAGTAGTCTCTAGTTACTGTAGTTGTAGCTCAAGGCAGAAACGAAGAAATACAGATTCGGCTGACGGAGGAGCCGCGACCGGCCGTGTATTTGTTCTCGCGACTCGCAGGGTCAATTCGCAGTTGCTAGAGCAACGTGAAATCGATTTCAGACGGCAGTCCCGAACCAGTACGGGCCCGGCCAGACGAATCAGTACAATTCGCAGCCGATGTACACGCAGCAACCGTCGCAGCAATATCAGCCTGACGGTATGATCGTGGACGGAACGAGACCGCCGAGTTCTACGAGCTTACGAAGGAACAGCCGAGTGCTGAGTCCTCAGGATCGACCCGGCGCTATCGGCCAAACGTTGAACGACAGGTCCCGACGTATTTCCTTCTTTTGCGCAAACGCCACGCCAAATCGCACCTTGTCACGTTGACAAGTCGAATGATCGTTATGTTACGCTTCGCAGGCTGGATCATTACAAGAGGCCACCTAGTCGCGACAGTTCCGTGGATCGTTACGCGAGAGCGCATTCCCGACTGACCGGATCGAGACAGCCGTCCGTCGACAGAATCATACCGAATCCACCCACGGACATGCTCGACAGGTGAGTGATACGTGGCGCGCGTGGGAGGTATATCCGTACATTTTCGCGAAGAATTAATTCATTGCCCACGGGAGTATATCATGCCGTATCTGTCGCGATTCTGTTTCCCTCGCGTCTCCTGATTTCCTTCCAATTCGTCAGTTTTGCGCGCAAAACAAAGTTTGATTAAATTAACGTGAAAACGGATGCGCCAAACGCGTCTTGGTTAGAAGAGACAGAATTTCTGATTCTGAATATTTGATATTGTATAAAGAATAGTTCAAGAACCAAAAATTCTATTTCCCTCAATCAAAACGTTTTCGTTCATTGCCACGTGAAACCAATTTTTATAAAACTGTGTAGAACTGATAAATTGGAAGGGAACAGGAAGATACGAAAGACAGGATCGTTATTAATCAATATTTTTTCCCTGTATATCTTTGCACGGTTTGCATCGCGCATTGCCCAATATTATCATTGCGTTTTTACATACGAGCGACCAAGTTTTCGTAAGCTTTCAACCCCATTTTATGATATTCAAAATCTTTTACTTTTGATAAAACTGTAGCCATTGTGTGATAAATAGATTAAAGATATATAAGTATCAAGTCGATAGGCCTCATTATCTGAGAAAAATGGCCCAAAAAAATTTTCGAAACTAACATATGCGCTTCTGGTGAGGGATATATGCATTTTATTAGAATATTGATAAGGTGTGTTGCAGTTTCTTCACCTGTGCAATAAATGTTGGTATTCATAATGTTGATAATAAGTCGGCTGCAGACGTACTAAGAGTGATTTTTACTAAGCTCAGACTTAATTGTCAACTAATTCTGTTATGACCAGCAAACAGCTACTGGCCACTTCTGCTAGTTACAACGGAATCAATCGACGATTAAATTAATCAAAGCTTGATAAAAGAGTCATTCTAATCAATATTATTAGCATTTACCATCCGTATTATTTTATGAATAAAGATTCTCATCCCATTTCTTGCATTTCCTACATTTCCTCTCTGTAAAGGTCCTAACGATATTATTTATTTTAATAGAATACATATCTTCTTAGGCCATTTTCTCCCGAATAGTGAGGCGCATTCCCTTTGATACTTATGTATCTTTAATCTACTCATGAATAGCTACAATTTTACAAAAAGTAACTTAAGATTACGAATGCCGCAAAATGGGGCTGAGTTTGGCCGCATTCTTTAGTATTTCTTCCATTGTATGACTCAAGAGATTCAACGTCGCGAGATAAAGGGAAAAATTAACATCTCTATAATACATATCTAGTTACTTCACATGGGGAATCCACTGAATTCGCGTCGACTCGTTCCATTTCCCGTGAACGGCCGTTTTGTGCGATTGACAGGTCGACGAGAGCTCCGAGTGCGATCCGAGCGGCAACGCCGCTGAACGGCTCCGTGGTAGGCAGCGGCGCCGCGACGCCTACGTACACGGCGCCAACACCTAGCCAATTCGAAGGAGCCCTTTTAAAGAACCGAGGCCTTGGGCAGGACATCCTGCCGAGTCCTGGACAGCCTAAGCGCACCGAAAGCCTCTATGTGGCTCAGTCTCGCGGGCCGCCCGGCGGCGGCGGCGGTGGTGGTGGCGGTGGAGGCGGTGGAGGCGGCGGTGGCGGTGGCGGTGGCGGTGGAGGTGGCGGAGGTGTCATGCCGAAGGTGAGTCCTTGCTTTCTCACGTTTGCTTTCTTCGCCACGTGTTATACGTATGTGCATCATACGCATACGTGTAATACTTACGTGCGTGTGATACGCGCCGCGTGCACACCAAAGTGCACCCATATATTCGCTACACGTACCGACGACGTCCTGGCACTTGCGTCATTCGCCTCGAAGAAGGAGTCGCGCGCATGTGTACGCTCGGCTGCTGAAAACGGTGGCCACACATTTTTCCGTATGAAGTTGTGCAGCGCTTCTGATTGTCACAATTCAGAGGTACTTCTGACGCTTTCGCGTCACTGAAATTTAGTTAATAAAGAGACGTATTCAAACCTTCAAAGTCCATATGTTCGTAATTTAGGGGAGACCGGGGTTATATAGCTACAAGGATATGTTACAAGGATATGCTTTTTTTGTTAGTATTTATCTTGAGAGGAATAATGGATCGCGAAACAGTCTTTTTAGAATAAATATTTTTCTCTGAGTTTTATTAAAATTGCAATAATATTACAGTTAAGAAATAGAAAAATCTGATCTGGTAATAGCAAGGGAAATTTTCGAGCCTTTCGAAATTTTCTATTAATATTCTTCATTGTGATTGAATAAAATTAAGTGATGTGTTATTAGCTGCAATGGAATTTCTTACAAGTGTATGATATATTGTTTCTGCAATTTTTCTTCATAAAATAATTGAAAGTACAACGACGAGTTGGTCCATATTTAAGGGCCGGTAGGAGGACTATGGAGATTTCTACTAATCAAAATATATATTTTATACGTGGTTTTTTCTGCGCTACTAAGCAACTTATCTCGGTATCAAGGTAAAATAATTATGTTGCTGCTATATTTTGATAATTACAAAACGTACGGTTAACAAAGTCGTGACGAGCATTAATACATAGAAGAAGATTGCCTCAATCATGTTTATACGGTCAATCACAACAATTAATTGCCTGACAAGTTGTAACTTTGAAATTCTAAAATATAGAGTATCTAATTCCAACCCTAAACTATGAGAGGATATTATAATATTTGAATATTATATTAATTAAATTTCTTTTTACACTTTATACTTCCATTTCTGTCATAACTGATAACAGCGCGATCGCGTCAGCAGTGTTTCTTAATTAGTGACAACCAGGAGCGCGCTGCAACTTCATTCGAGAATATACGTGGCCACCGTTTAGTAATCGAGTGCACCCGATCGTTCTGCGGATATCCATCGAGACCTCGTTTCTTGAAATCGTGCGATTTTGTCACATTCGTTTCGGCAGCTTCATAAATATGTTGATTATCCGTACGGGATAAATAGCATTCTTCACAAAAGGCCGGCGGGGGATTTTGACATTCCGCGTATTGACGTCAGTCCTTCCCCGCCGGAGTTATATTTATCCGAAGCAAGAGAATGTTGTTACTCATTTTATTTAAGTAGCGTGGGCGCGCGCGTCGCATTCTTTGACAAAGAAAATCACGGCTTCCTTTTCGAGACCTCTCTCGCTTGTTTATCCAGCCGGAATCGCAATGTTCGCGCGATGTTCCTTCTTTCAAACGATTCTTGAGCTCCGCCCCCGCGGAGTGTATTCTCTCGGCCGATTTACGGTGAATCGCGGAATCGAATCGGCGAAAAATAATGCGATTCGGCGAAGCGATTTACTCTTCGGGCGGGGGCACCTGCCAAGAATCGGGACGAGGCGTCTTTCCAGGACCGACATCGGAAATAACTTCGGACAGTCGTTGCGCGTTAAACAAGATAACAATCGTTCGACGTTACGACTACTTTCCGATTATTCCCGCGAGGATTACTCACGTACACGTCGAACGATCACGAGCGAATTTATTCCTCTCGCAGCAGACACGAACGCGAACACACGGCGACGGGTTTTACGCACGAAATTGAAACGGAATGACGTCGCCATACGCGGTTATCGCGTGCGACTCTTTTTTTCTCTCTCTCGCGATATTTCAGTCGAAGGTCAAACTCGCCCTCTTTTTATTTTTTTTTTCTTTTTTGTATCGATATTGTTCACGGGCATTTGGGTAAACGGGCGATTACGTATAATCGCCGGAGATCATGAATAATTAACCGCGGCATTATTATGAATAATGATATGGCCGATTATTCGTGTAGCATGATTAAACGCGGTGACTCTCGAAATCATGCCGAAACGTCAGTTCGCGTCGGTTCCGTTCGCTCTGCTGCCGATAACGGACAAGCGACGTGCCGAAATCGCCCTCGCAACTACCTCGAGTAACAATCACCTCGCCCGTGTTTTTTCTCTACATCTTTTACTTGAGATATATTTCTTGCACCTCGCCTGCGTTCTCGACGCACCGACCTCTCCTCCTCTCTCTCTCTCTCTCTCTCTCTCTCTCTCTCTCTCTCTCACCCTCATTTACTCTCCATTTTCTCTCGTTCGAATTTTTCTCACCATTCGCCTCTCTTTCTCTCTCTCTTTCTTGTCTATTTTTTATCTAGCCTACCTTATCTATATTTATCTCTGTATATATTTTTCTTTCTTTGTCTCGATTTGTCTGTCTGTGTAACTGTGTGGCGTTTTGTGCTGTGTTCTGTGCATGCCATCCCAGGACGCAGGCCGGACGGTCCCCGCCTTCGCCGCAACGTCAAAGGGCCGCGCAACCCTATGAGTATAAGTATATAAATATGTATACAAAGAGATGTGCGAGATGTAAAAGAGAGACATATATACTATATATATATATAGATACATTTATAGCGGTTAGCAAGGAGGCGCAGCTTCCGAGAGGCTCGTTCGCGTCGCGGCGCGCCGTGTTTCGAGCCGAGTCGGCTGATAATAGGTCTGTTCTTTTTCGAGGAACTTCCTGACCTAGTGCACACTTCCTGAACTCTGGTGCAACGGGTTAGAGCGGAACAAATATATTTTGCTTCGCTGTGACTTATTGCGCCAGTCTCTCCGCACCGGTTTAGGCAGTTCAGTTAAACAAAACAAACCTAATTGCGGCGCGATCCCGCTCTCGCCGCTTCCGCCCTTCGACAGAGTTCACCTGTCGAAAGACAGGTCGGAAAAGCCCCGAAATTAAGTTCCGATAACGAAGATGCTTCGAGACAGCACGTGTCTCGCCGGGATCCGGCGCGTCCCTCGTGAGGATCGACGATATTTTTCTACGTATTTACGAGCCCTCCGCAACGTCCGATGTCGCCTTAACCGGGAACGCACGCGGCGACGGATGCGCGGTCGAATGGTTAATTATGGTTACTGATGCAGCTGTGTGTTGATGCGGGCGCACGCGCGCGGAATCGACTCGTTTGCAATTTGCGCGCGTTTGGCTCGGTGCACGATGCAACCAGTACGATGAGCCAGGTTTCCGAAGCGAAGCCTTAACATTAGAATGCCCGATGAAGTCATTCCGACTCCTTTGAGGTCCTCTTGTTGTCGCTATTCCCGTCTCGCGTGATCCAGGGAAAGCAGTATCTTGTAACTTTTAATTATATTCTTAAAATGTTCACACAAGTTATTGATATGGATTATTGATATGGGACAGAGAGAGTTTCAAGATGTTAGAATCACGAGGAATCGAAATGATTCTTTCGGGCGTCCGAAGGCGGCTGTAGTTCCCGGGCATCTTAGTGTTAAAAAGAGCCGCGGAGATGTCCCAATAACGGTCATTTCGCGGAGATTCAGTGGTGTACACGAGGAGCTCGGCAAGCGACTAGTAACTCAGTGGTTTGGTCTGATTGGTGCACTGAGAAAAGAAGTGGGTTAATGAGGCTCTGCTTGAACGAAGAGAATTCGTTCAAGCAAACGTTTAGCCGATTAAACGAATTATATAGTTGCTGTGATGTGTTATATTAACTGATTCAATGATGGCGATTTGGTCAGTAACTATATCAACGCAATTTATTGTTGCAATAAGTTGTTCAATAAATATAATGTTTCTTTAGGCGGATGACCGCCGATTTTGTCAATTACTTTTTTTTCTCAATGTGTGTACGTTTGTATCTCGGATAGATCTCAGAGTATGCACAAATTAGACTCGTGAGCACTGCTTGCTTTGCGGCAGAATGAAACGCTCGGTAAGCCCAACGGGTAAGTGATTGAAGGATCTGATTTTGCTGCACGCTTCCGGATCCTGCCAAGATCTAAAGATACAAACGCCAATTAGATCCACTACTGATCGTCAGTCGGTTGCTAAGCGTTTCTTTCTCCGGAATGCAGCCACTAGTCGTTTGTTAAGTGCTTCGTTCCGCAGCAGCCATCGTTGCAATGTAACAAGACGCTTAATGGAAGAGATACTTGTACCTGGTAGATCGCTATTAGTCGCTAACTCTCGCCGCGTCGTCGAACAATAAGAACTCTCGACGAGAGAAAAGAAGTCGCGGTCGAGACGAGCAATGCGTACTTCTGGAGAATAAACTTATTTTTCTATAGAGAGAGAGACTCCGCGAGCGACACGGATCGTTATATTGGACGAGTCAAAAAGTCGCGCAGTCGGGATTTTGATAGAGATTTGCCATCACGAGTGCTACCGTGTGATGTTTCAAATGTCAATGCATTGCACAGGGTGTTCGCTAAATACTTGGATAAACTTCTAGAGTATATTCCTCTCATCAAAATAAAGGAAGAAATTTATATAAACCTATAATCAAGTGTGAGTGATTGCGAAGTTATAGCAAAGCAAATGTTTACGTTAACGTTATTGCACTAAAAGAAATTATTCGATAAAAAAATTAACCATTCAATCAGAAGACCAATGAATGTTTATATCTAATCAGGATATCCAATTAAATTTAATTACTTCCGATCATGATGACATTTCATCAGATAAACCAATCAAAAAATTATAAATCGATATTTTTCATCGGATATTTTCTGATTGGATACAAAAATTCATCGGTATTTATCGGAAATATATTTGTTTGTTAATTTTTTATCGAAGGGTTTCTTTTAGTGTATTGTATAATTATAAATAAACATTTAAATTGTTACAAATGCTCAAAATGGCCGCCATTTGATAAAAGACAAGTATTGACACGGTAGAGTTAAACATTGCCGAAGCATTTCAAAGGTTCACGGATGATTTCGTACAGCCTCACAAATATTGATAATACGTTGGCGAAGCATCTCTTAGATACACTAAGTGTAAAATGTAAAGTATTAATAGTAATTACCTGAAATTTGCCTCAAATAAGACACTCAGATTTTAATTTAGAGTTAGACCTAAATTTTTAGTTAAATCATGATCGCAAATATAATACCACATGTACTTTTTAATTCAAATAAAACCCTCTCATTCAACTCTAAATTCAGATTTGAGTATTTCACGTAGGACAAGTTTCAAGTAACGATTATTAATACGAGCTTGAATGCTTTAAATGTCCCTATAAATCCAGCGGATTTAAGTTTGAGAAACGTGGAAGCCATATGCGACTAATCCTCCTCTGCCAATCGATCTATCTGGATAATTATTATTGACCACACTTTTCACTTAACGATTAAAATGTGATGGTGTTTCATTATGCATAAACCGCATTCTGAACATACCGCCCGTCTCGATTATTGGGATTTAATTGTTTACTTGCGATTATTTAATAATAACGTTAACATAAACTTTGTCTTACTATAACTTTGCAACCACTTATACTTGATTATGGGTTTATATAAACTTTTATCTTTATTTTGACGAGAGGAATACGCCTCAGAAGTTTGTCCAAGTATTTCACAAAACCCTTGTGTAGCATTGGAAAGATCAGATTTTTTGTTATCTTTTTGGTATTAGTTGTATTGCTTTGACAAAGCTTGCTTTTAAAGAATAGTTCAGACGAAATAAAATTATAGAAATAAGACGAAAAAATCTCGTTTTCGCTTTCTGACGATATATGGAGTATTGTGAGAGCTACAACCATCGTGAAAAGTAAGAAGACATTTGCGAGATTTATGGAAAACATGCTGTAAATCCATTCAGACGCGTGAAAAACGATTGAATAAATTTTAACGAAGCACATATCACGCTCGGGAAGGTTTACGGAAGTGGATAACAACGTAATCCGCAATTCGCTTGACGCAAATCCATGAATTTCGATATGGTAGAGAGCCGAAGCAATGAACACAGCGTATGAGAACGCGTATAACCATTTTTTCGAGGCTGTACAGTCTGAAGTTTCACGTGTGCTAAGCGAAAAGAAACCACGTTTTTCTTTGTTCTCCGACAAACCAATCGACTTTTACGAGCACGTTTTTACGTGCGTTCACCATCAAAACGTTGAAAGAGGATCGTCAAGAGAATCGTGAAAAATCATTTGGTCGAATAAATAAATAAATAAATAAATTTGTCCAAAGATGACTACAATAATGACTGAAACTTTCTGACTTGTAATCTGTATTCACGTGTACAGATCGGGAGATAGGGAGATCGGGTCTAAATGGTTGCAGGAGTATGTTGCTCATATGTTTTTTTAATAGCTATCTTGAGAGGAACAGTAGATATATACACAAAATCGCGAAAGTCCTTTCAGAACATAGATATTTTTCCCTGAATTTCACTAAAATCAGAATAATACTATAAAAAAGTATTATTAAAAAATAGAAACAAACTGATTTCAGACCACTTTTATCAAGCTCATGTTAGCTCAGCAAGGCTGCTTCTATGGTGGTTTGCACAGTCAGTCACAACAAGTAGTTATCTAATAGATGCTTATACTAATGTCAGTCACCTTAACCCAAGTTTTTAAATCTTTGAACAGAGTTTAATCTCTCTCAAATTAAAGATTAATAGTTGTTGGTAGAAATGGGCATGAGCAATTGTTACTCTGAAATTCTGAAATATGGGACATCTAGCCCCGATTTCTCTTATACTATACTACAAATACATGTTCATTAGGCCGGTAATTTGTCGTCCATTGTTACGTATTTTTGTTTATTTTAATCGAAGAACCGTGTAATCATTGAGCCGATATAATTAAACGAACTAATTAATCTTCACAGCGGAAGACCGCCGCAACTTTCCGATTCGTCCGATACACTCGTGCGAACGATCCGGTGTCACTGATTATCGACATTAATCTTGGAATGGCCCGTTAATTGCCGTCAGATTTGATTTGGCGATGGCGTGTGATTAATGTGCGAGCACTGTTTGGTTGCGCAAGACGTTCCCCGAAGTGCGGGAAGCAGCGGGAATTTTGCTGAATTCATCGCGACGGAGATATCGCCGGCCACGAGATAAGGAGCGCGATTTCATTCCAGGATTAAATGAGCAACGATCGGGACGTAGAGCGGAGGAGAAGCGGCACGGAGTCTTTAACGATCTCGAGATATCCTAGATCGCGTCTCGTCTTGGTCGAGATGGAGAGCTGATCGCCGTCGCGGCGAATATCGCTATTGCGAAACGGGAATTACACGCGAGAGCAATTTCATGGATTTCGCAACGCACGTTTGCGCGAAGCTGTCGAGATGGCAGCGGACTCACGTTGTCCACGTTGTACCAACCAGAAACGCGATCTACGAGCACTCGTTGGGAAATGATACGAGATCACCCCGACGGACCAGTCAACGAACAATAAACGCTACAAACAATGCACGTAGTGCATTGCTTTTCCGCAGGAGAAAAAGCGACTGACAGCTTTTCCCCGACTAGTCTTTCTTTCTTTCTTTTTCTTTTTCCTTCGGGCTTTTCGACACGTTATCGTAGTTAAAACGAGACAGATTCTAAGTAGCGGAGATGCGCGCGAGCGCGACTATATTTACAAGTATAAACGGACACATCTGTGTATATGTACGATATATGTATATGTTGCGTGCGTGTGCGTGTGCGTGTAGATACCCGCGCACTCTGAATAGCGGCTAAGTACGCCGAGGTGAAGCGACACGCGAATTGGCTCCTCCGTTTTGTACACTAAAACTAAGGAGTGAATCCCCGGCTCGCTGCTTCTCTTACATTACATTCCGTTTCCTGCGAGAACGACCGACTTACGTTAATTGCATGCGTACATACACACACACGCACGCGCGCGCGTACACTCACACCCACACGCACACACGCGAGACGAACGCGCGCACTGAGACAACCGAGTTAAGAAGCAGCGCCCATTAAGATCGCACTAATTAACGGACCCTCGGAAGGTAAGCTTAACGCGCGGCGTGGAGGCGGGGACCAGTTTTTGCTCTTCGATTCTCTCTATTTTAACCCTCTTTAATCATATCTCAAGCCTCTTTCGACCCTACTTCCAAACTACCCGTTGTCGCTAGTCACCTCTCCTAGATTACTTTAGAATCGATCGACGCCGCTCGATCTCCGTAGACTTTCTTAGAGATATCGCTAGTCCAGAGTCTCGCCCTTCTGCGTTCGAGCTCCCGGCCGACGTGGCCGGGTGATCGACAACTGCGACTTACAGATTGCTTATTGTCGCTGTTAACGGAGGCACTTATCAGTACGTGCCGAGAGCTCGCAAGCGTTCGGACGAGTCTTTTGCGACGTGCTCTCTTGATAATCTCCACCACCTCCACGCCGCTTCTTTTTCCTATTCTCTGGTCGGAGACGTTGTTCCTTCTTTTCTCGACGCATGCTCTTGTACGGATTTGACGGATCTGAGTCCTATGTATCGCGATGCCACGCGACGCGGAGGATACTCGTTAAGATTGAAAGTAATCGCCAGGAGAGACGTTCGATACGAAGTGAGCCTTAAGCGTGCAGGATCCTAATTAACACTAGGATACTTAGTCGTCGTCGTCGTGGCCAGTTCGATAGTGTGTAATTTGTGCGCGCTATATATTATGTAGTTACCTGTCCTACACTCTCGTCGCGCACACACACACATACACGTACGAGCCGTCGCGTAGAATAATTTGCCGCCCACGCCGCAGTTAACACGAGGAAAGAGACACACGCGCCGAGAGAACGAAAGTTTACATTGCACAGGGGTGAGGGGGAGAGGGGGAGGAAGAGAAAGGGAGGGAGGGAGGAGAGAATTGGCAACGTGGATTTTACTACCGCCTGTGTTAAATACATTTGTATGTGCCGTCTATTCTTTACACACTCTTAAACATGTACCGCCAAATTCGAGGTACTGATTTGCAAATGGAAACGACTTTCGAGTTACTCGCTGATAGGAGGTACTTTTCCCAGTACATAGTATGGGATGCACGAGATAATAATACACATGGTGATTCGATTGGAGGTACAATTCGTGATGCTTTTGTTTAGGAGGTACAAAGCTTTCTGCTACATATCTCTGATGTAGAAACGATATACCGAGCGTTACAAATATACCGTCAACACAGTAGCGGGAGATCGCCATATAAGGATGCATTATATAAGCATAAGTCGTCAGAACATCGTCGGGATTGTTAGCACCGCATACCGCTCGATCAGCAGATTAAGCGACACCTTAACGCGGTCGGGACGTGGATGGTAACCGGACAGTTGCTGGTTGTTTGGGATGGTCCAAAATCTATAGTACATTTTTGTACCGCGCAATTGAAGACCTCCTAATTTGGCGGTGCTATCTTTTCTTCTGTTTTTACTTACGTAATTACGTAGGGTTTTTATTTCAACGCGTGCCGTCAATATTTGACGATACATGCTTAAGAGTGTACACGCGACAAACGTCCAGATTACGATTACCGTGTACATTCCGTGTAAGTAAGGCTAATATTCAGACTATTGTGACAGTGCAGATAATATAATGAGGTTATATATGAGGTACGATAATAGGAATAAGAGTAGCGAGAGATGGAACTTGCCGACGATACCTGCAACGAGCCTACGCGAGCCTAATTCTTGTTAAACGGTCTACACACAAGCGCGAGAGCGGGCTCTAAGCGATAAAAATCGTGCGAAGAAAAATCGCGTGAACAAATGCGACGAGAGACGCTCTCTCTAATTCGAGAATTAATTAAACTATAAAAGAGTACTCACACTATATTTTCGTACAGGGCCGATTTAACGATTTTTAATGTATGTATGTTAACACCTTAAGTCATAAATCGTAGTTTCGAGAACGATGACAGTTATGGGCGGAGAGAAAGGGAGGTGGGAGAGGGAGAGAGTGTGTGCCGCGAGAGAGAGGAATATTTAAGGAGAAGTCACATTTTGCACAAAAGTAGGAAGCAAAAAGGCAGAAACCAACTAGAACTCACGCTGATGGTCAAGTGGTAGTCGACAGTTTTTGTTTTGCTACCAAAGAGCGAATTTTGACTGACTTCTGCATTCTGTTTCCTGCTTCTCCCTGTCAAGGTGTGAATCCTGCCTCAAGCTTAATCTACAATGTACTCTTTGCTTCCTGTTCTTGTTGCCTGTTTTCTTCTGGCTTGAAGCTTAAGGTTTGAGTCAGAAAGAGATAAAGAGAAAGAAGCAGGAAACAAAGAGCACATCGTAGATCAAGTTTTATTCGCGCGTATCGCAACTTCAGAGATGCAACATTTCCAAACGGTTGAATTTTAACCTAAGTCGTTAATCTACCCATGTGTTCAAGTCACTCGCTTAAGATGAACCTCGACCAGCAACAATTTGATTGTTCGGAAAATAAGAGAAAAAGGAGAACGGAATAAGTACGAAAGAAGTGACATTTAGTCCCCAAAAGAAACGTTGAAACACGAAAATAGTACTTTTCTTAACTCCGCACGATCGAATGCCAACCTTGCGAGAAAAGTCGTTTTTTTTTATCGTTACGAGAAAGCTTTCCCACACACGTAGGTCCCGACGAGTCGAATAATCGTGTTTTTACTTGACACTTAGCGTGCGTTGTACAATTCCTTTGTGAGTACGTAGTCGCATAGGTGTAGGAACAAAATCGTGAATATAGACGATGTGTACATACTCGATAAATTCTCAGATTACACTCCCGCAGGAGAGGAACGTTGATTTTAATGTAGAAATTGTACCCATTTCCGTTCGCAAAAAAAAAAAAAGAAAAAAGAGATAAAGACAACGACATTGCAGACGTTAATTCGATGTACTGAATGTATTTATGTATACGATGTATAAGCTGTTATTGAGAACAGATTAAAGAAAATCGCGTAAACCAAACTTCTCGTTGTTTTAGCTCACCGTTGTGTCTTTCTTGCAGTACAGTTAGTACTCTCTAAATTTCTTGCAGTGAAATTTCACTCGAAAAACAGAGTGACAACCGAGTCACTTGAATTCGAGTTATTTTTCACTCTTAAGGAATGAATTCTTCACTTTGACTCTGACTTGAACGAATGTTTTCTATATTCTATATTTTTTATGTTTTATATAGAAATTGAAGAGAATCCGATGTGTTCCTTAGTCGTCAAAGGAACATATTCGATCGATTCGCTCACGTGGAATCCACTCTGGTCTTCAATTGAACGTTCTATTCTTTCTTATTCTATGCTTTCGAGTGGCACTATTCTCATTGTCGTTTCGAGTGATATACTGCCACTTTTCACTCGTTTTGAATGAGATTTCATTCCAAGAAATTTAGAGAGCAGGCGTTCATGATTTCCAAGACTAATAAACTGTCTGGAAATTGGAAGGAGTAAGAGAGTAGGAATCGATTACGAAAGGCGCGACTAATGGCTGTCAAAGTATGTTAGCCTCGTGTCTCTAATGAGATGTTAATGTCCAAAAGTTCATCGCATACATGCGCAATATTCAAACGGGAGTCATAGACGATACAAAAATAAGAGGCAATAGAAGGATAAGAAATGAAGATCGATTGTATTTGCGTATATAAACGAGATTATGGAAATTCCAGTGTTAATATTTATCTTTTCATGATTAATTCTTTTATGATTAATTCACATGATCCCGTTCTGGAAACGTAATTTCCACAAAACAAAATCCACGCGCGCGCGTCGCTCGCGAAGTAAATACAATAATCGCTCAACGAAGTGACATAGCACGGCAGTCGCGTGATGTATCGATTAAATCAGATTAAGGGGATACCACACACTCTTTGAAAACTTTATCAACAAGATACTGACTTTTTTCTGTAAAGTTTACGTATCGTATCACGTTGCATAGAATTGCGAATGCTTTTACACATTGAAAGTACGTGCAATAATGAATTGGAGCTTTGCTCAACATATGACGAAAACGAGACAAAATTTTGAAATTTACATTTCGAGATGTCAGTTGGCGCGAATATTTACTTGACACGAAAGTTTTGCAGCTTATACGTACCGCATGTGTGTTTGCTCCGCCAACGAAAATTTCAAGAAACATTACTGTCTCTTTATAACTGAATGGAAACTCAAAACTATGCGAAAAGTTTGCGAGAAGATTTCTGTATATGCGTGGTTGTTTTTTACTAGCATGCTGAAACAAAGCAGAACACATTTATATAAGATTTATATGTACACGCGGCTCCATTAATGCCCGACACACACACACACACACACACACGCACACACGTGTATTAAATCTAGAATTTTTTTAGATATTTTAAATTAGCCGTGGATTCTTTCTATACAAGCATTTATCGTGACAGTAGAGTGTCCAAGGAATCGAAAGTGATATACGAAAGTCGTGACAGTTTGACAATCGGAAGTTTATTTCGCGTAAGTTAATATATTCAAAAGTATGCGAAAAGTTTGCGAGAAGATTTCTGTATATGCGTGGTTATGTTTTCTGCTAGTATGCTGAAACAAAGCAACACACATTTATATGAGATACTTATACTTTTAAGTTAATGTTCTTGTCCATGTTTTCTTTGTCCGTTCATATGTTACGCATAATTACGTATGATATACTTAAGAGAGATTGGGGCTATATGGCCCTAGAGATGTGTTGCTTATGTGCATTATTTTAGTATTTATCTTAGAGGAATGGTGAGTATAAAACCACAAAAAAAATTATCCTTTTAGAACATAAATATTTTTCATTATGAAGTTTCATAAAAATCGAAATAATATTACAGTTAAGAAATAGAAAAGATTGGTAATAGCAAAATAAATTTTCGAGCTTTTGGAATTTTGTATTAATATTCTCCATCGTGACATCGTGGATAAAATTAAACGATGTGTTGCTAGCTAGAATGATATTTCTAGCAAGTGTATGATATACTGTTTTTAATAATAAATATAATTTTCATTCATAAATCTTTCCGCAAACTTCTCAGATATTCTTAAGCTTCTGAATTAGGCAACCTTAATCAAATCATCTTGTGCGAAACAAACTTCAAATTACCAAACTATCGCGGTTACTTTCGAATACTTTTGTCCCCTGTTCGGGGACTTTCGTCCTCGATTCTTCGGATACTCGACGTAAAGAATACGTATATACAAAGGGATATGGATAGTCCAAGGTATTTAGTAATTCTAGATCTAATAAATGTGTGTGTTCGGGCATTAATGAAAGTACATGTACAAGAAAAGGATCGCGTCAATGACGATTACCTCCACCTTATCGATATCTTTCGAGTTCGTCATCTACTTCGACATTTCCTTAAAAATGCAGCATGCATGGAAAGAAGATGTGACGATCGCGCTCCAATTAGCAAAGCTAATCAAGCGTTGCGCCATGTCAGTCAAGAGTTGCTTGGTCGAATTGCGGGCCGGCTGCGCAATTCGTGAGAGATGACGAACAAAGAAATTGCAAATAAGCGGCACGGAGCGGCTCACTTGGCGCGAGAAAACCCTCGAAATGCTCGACGGATTTATTCGCATGCCAAACCTATGAGTCAGGCAACTCGAGTTGGCGCTTCGACTTCATCCGCGCCAGGTTATCTCCGCGATAAAAATTGTTTCGAGTTGAACTCCGCTCGACATGTCGATATCTCGAATGTATTAAAAAAAAAAGATACGAAGAAGAGGAGAAATTCCTGGGCGAGCAGCGTCTTGAGCTCCGGAATAATTCGCGACACTTCGGCGAAGCGAAAAGTCGCCGACTCTCTCGGGACTTTTAGACGGTACGGCCGTCTTCTTTCGCGTCGATACGCATCCACCGTGATATAGATCGGCTGCTGCGTGAATCACAGAAGCGCGAGAGGGATCGACAGGGTTCTGGCATGGGGACAGGCGTCTCTCTGTGCGGATCTCCGCGAGCGTCGCGACGTTTGGCGAAGTTATTTCGATGATAGTGGGGCGTCGCTCTATTTCGGTCGTGCTAGCCAGGGCCGTTCAGTCTGCGACCCGGCTTCCTCATCAGGAGGCCGCGGATCTGTACTTCGCACCTCTTATTCGCCCCTTTCGTCTGGGACCGTCGAAAAAATGCACGAGAGATAACCGCGCAGAGCAAGCACGAACAAGTGCTGCTGGCTCGAATGCACACCTAGGAAGGTACTTCCGACCGAGGGAGCACCTGGTGCGAAAGAAAGAGAAAGAGAGAAAGAGAGACAGGCAGATAGTTAGCAGGTCGCCAAGTTATCGTTCCCGACGTAATCCTGGACTGAATGTGGATACGAGGAGAAAAGTGTTACGTTATTATGTCGATAGCCTCTTCAGCTCAGTTTCGCACGCCGATGTTCGCCTCGCGAGTGATATTCGCGCGACTCGAGCCGAATAAGATCGCACGACTTGGCGGTCCATCCGCGAAGCTCGTAGTGCGACGAAGTTAATCGGCCGCAAGAAGCGTCGCGGACGTCGAGTGATGTAATTCGGCGAAATTGTAACTGCCGCTTGTCAAAGGAATTTCGCCGGTGCGGCGTCCCGCTGCGTGTGCCGGCGGAGAAAGAACTCGATTGCAACTTATCTGGAAGAGGAAAATGAAATTCCGGACGAACGAGATTTGCAAGGTTATCCGATGAACTTAGTTCGTGAAGAACAGCCTGAAGTGAGGCGTGGCGAGTCGAGGAAATAGACGCGACAGGTAGTCGGAAATTCCAGAGGTCTCGCAGAAGTTTGAGGACACTCTCCCAGAGACCGGCGGTGCCAACAAACATGTTTTGGGTCGAATCCGACGAGGAAGAAGAGGCGCTATTATGCAGCCCTGCTCTGATGGCCAGACGGGCTTCGGAGTCATGGATCGTCGCGCCCCCCGTGGAGGTACACGAGGAAAGCCCTGATTCTTTCTCCATCTATCTTAACGGACACTTTAAGATTCGCATAAATCATGGAACGGTGCGGGTGGTTGAAATATAATATTTCCCGTCCCATAAAACAAGCGCGACGAGAACGGCAGGGACGGAACGGCGCGACGGTTAACAAACGGACAAAGACGTTATTTGTTCGCGGTCTTTCTTCGGAATGACTGATTCGGGATTAGCCGCGATAAGGCACGCTCAGTGGAGCGCGGGATGGCGATTAACAAGTGAAAAGCACCCCGGCGTGAGACTCCCGGGCTCTGAATCGACAGCTCGGCGAATGCGACAGATTACGTAAATAAGGCGCCGCGCCGTTCGTTAACCGTTGTTATCGAGAAAGCGACGGATACACTGAAAAATTCATTTAGTTGGATTAACCAAAATTTGGTTAAAATAGGGTCGAACAAATGTTTCGGTTGTGAGGACCAAAATTTCGTTCTTTCTATCAAAGATTTGATTCTCTGAAACTAAACCTTTTCCATTTTTGTTTCAAAAAATCAAACCTTTGGTTCAAAATGTCAAATATTGGTTCTCACAACTAAAACATTTGTTCTACTTTATTTCAATCAAATTTTGATTAACTCAACTAAATAAATTTTTCAGTGTATCGCGATGTGACGACGCGCGAAAATATTCGGCGCGAAATGGGAAGTCCTCGATCGTAACGGCGCGGTTTGCGTCTCACTTGTACGTCTATTACCGCGATGAGAGGGAGTGAGAGAGAGAGAGAGAGAGACGCGTCGCGATTATGCAATTTTTGGCTAGCTTGTCGCTGCAACAATTGCGAGACTACGTGTAAAATTTTCGTGTCGAAGTACAGTGGATGATATTTTTGGCTGTATAAGAGCAAACTGCTCTCACATGACTCTTTCGCGAAATCGTGAGTAATGAGATAAAAGTGCTAATACCAAGAGCGCTAATGACATTGGCTGATGACGCTAAGAACACAGTTCTAACTCTAGATATTCTTGTTGTTTTTTGGCTTTTAAATGCGAATATTTAAATTTTCAGTATAGAGAATACATATAGGCGAAAGTACCAATTCCTGGACCTAATTTTGGATATTCTTATTGTTTATGGTCTTTAAGTATGAATATTTAAATCTTTAACATAGAATGTATGCATATACTCAATACTTTTATATACATTTGATGTTGAAAGTTTAAAATATTTGTATTTAAAAAGACTTCAAAACTAAAAAAATGTCCAAGATCAGATAAATGTTCGCAGGTCTCTTATCTTATACTTATTGAGTATATCCTACGTTGAAAGCTTAATCATTCGTATTTAAAACCCAAAACAATACGAATGTTCAGCGTTAGGTACCAACGTTATATTACATAACTACGTTAACGTAGTGCCAGGGAATTGGTACACGGAGAGAATATTATAGATTTGTTTCATATAAATTTTTTTAAGCTATACTATGTTTTTAGTGGTTCACGATCAGTAAAGTTTATTTCGCTAAGGAACATAGTAAATTCCGCTGGAAACACAGCAAATTTCGCTAGAAACATAACAAATGTCCTTTGAGTGCACACATCTGATGGAAAACACCAAGGGCTCACAAATGCAAATTTGCACTATTGTCCTTTGCTAGCTTATAACTTGGTTCTGCGCGCACAAATTGGTAAATTTCAACTTTCTTTTTTATACAAGAAAAAAGATCGGAAATTTGACGATAACATATAAAAGCCAATAACAAAATAATAAAAGAATAGAAAATTGATTTACATTTGATTGTATTCTAAAGAAATCACTTTTTAAAGAAATCGATGGTACACTGAGAGAAATTATTCGATAAAAAATTAAAAACGGATATTTCTGATCAAATTCCGGTCAATTTTTATATTCAATCAGGATATCCGATTAAATTTAATCGGATACTCCCGATCATAATAGCATTAAATTAAATCGGATACTCCCGATCATAATAGATAAACCGATCAAAAAATTATGAACGGATATTTCTCATCGGGTGTTTTCTGAACGGATACAAAAATTCTTCGATATTTTGATTGGAAATATCCGTTTGTTAATTTTTTTATCGGATAATTTCTCTCAGTGCGCAATTTTGCACCATAGTGCGCTTGAAAGGTTAATAACACATTTCAGTTCCTAAAACGTAAATAGCACATATGAAACGAAGAGATAGCGAATTATTTCAGAATGTCGACCTACTCCTCGATTACAAAATCCTACAGTAACCTTCACTATTGGATTCTCTCCGTGTACTTTTATAACAGATATTCTCTTCCTTCGCGCGCTGCGAATCTCGAGGAATTCACTTGTTTGTTCGGGCGGAGTGTGAGGACGCGATCAGTTTTTTCCATGGAGAAGGTTAGAATCTTCGGCCCTTGCACCGCATGTTACGAGATACGGAATGTGTCGGCTCTTGGGTTTGGAACGGCTCCAAAGACCTTCCCCAAGCCCCTGCCTCCCGCTCGTATTGTCTCATTTTTCCCCACGCCATCCGTTGCACTCGGGGGTTGAATTAACGAAACACGTAGTCCCGTAGAAATCCGACGCCTCTCACTAACACAATCGTGCGATCCGTAGTGGCGACTCACGGACCGATTTTGTGAAGAACCCTATTGGAGGCCGGTCGAAATCGAGATTGAGGTCTAGGCTTAACTACGGCTAAAACTAGGCTTAACGAACTACGGTTGTATTATTCGGGATGATCCACCGTTGGATTTGGCAGATTAAACGAAAATACGATTGTCTAGATAGCCATAGCGATCGAGAATCTTACAATTGTTCTATAGCATATATACACAATACGTTTAAAATCAGAATAACGTCTTATACACAGAGAAAAAGTATTTAAAAAATAATAAATATTTCTTTAGTGAGCACTGATAATAATGTACTCACTTAAGTCTAAATTCTTTCATTTAAATGGAATAAACAATTATTTTTTCAGGAAAAGCTAAGGTTTCTACAAGATTTAAAAAAATGTATTATTTTTATTCTTTATATCAGTGAAAAATACTTTATATCAGTGTGAGTAAATATGTTATTATAGCATCCACCGCGATTAAATATTTATTATTCCTTAGATATTTGTTCTCTCAGTGTACAAAGAATGAGGTAATTTGACGAGACGCGTCAAGTTTTAACGCACATATTCTACGAAACCGAACGCTCTGAACGCTGGAGTCTCTCGAGAACGGACGAATCGGTCGAATTAACCAAACCTTCCTACCTCACGCTCGGCCAAACTAACGATTTTCGCCCTGTCAAAAAGGTACAAGCCCGAAATGTATATTGTTAATTGCCTGGCGATCTAGCACTACGTTCGTTTTTCTCTTTCCGCTGTGTACCCGTTTGATCTTATTATACGTCCGCTCTCTCCGATTAATTTAAGCGTAATACCGATATACACGGCGTAAGTCGATAAGTACATCGCGCACGTCGCACGAGGCCCACCTCTCTCTCTTTGTTTCTCGTTTCTTTCCTTCGTGCAGGCGATGCCGGCGGCGGCAATGCCACTTCAACGAAAGAAGTCACTGCCGGACGTGGCGCAGCCGATCCAGCTAACAGCCACGGCGCCATTGTCAAGGGAGGAAGTCAGTGTCCTGAGCAGCATGAGGAGAGAGGAGATACGCAGGCAGATCGACGAGCACGAGAGACTCAGGGCCAATCCATTTTTGTACCTGGTCAGTCCTCAGGTTAAGGTGAGTATCCTCCCGCGCTCCGGTTCTATCTACCTGAAACCGCCGATGTTGACAATGACGCGCCGTCGATCGCTCAAGAGGCAAGGAATGAAAGAATAGAACCGCACTTGGCACAGTGTGTTGCGGTTTATTTCGGGTATCCGGATCCTGGGTTTCTTGGGATCGATGCTAATGTACAAACGCGTCGTTAAGGAAACCGCTACGATAATATGTTCTCACGCGAGGCCTCGAAATCGACATCCGCTCCCGCTCTTTCCGTCGCTTATTGTCGAGAAACTGAACGCGAAAGTCCTCTTACGTATACTCGGCGATGAGAATTGTATATTCGCGAACGAGATGCAAAGGTGAAGGCGAGGAGAAAGAAAGATAGAAAGAGTAAGAGGGAAAGAGAGGGAGGAGAATGAGAAGAGGGGGAAGAGTACACCGCAATAACGTCAAGTTATTGGCGTATGGAAGGAAAATTTGGTTGTATTGACCAAAATATTTGTTGAAATATGAACGAGTCAGAATTTTGTTCAAGTTAGGATTCTGGTTAACCAAGTGATATTTTTTGATAACCAGAACTTGTAACTCGAACGGTTGACAAGTTTTAGTTAAATAGAAATCTTATTTAGTTTATCAGAATCAGTGTTCAACTCGAACAGAATTTTAATTAACAAGATTCTGGTTAATCAACCAAGATTACCGACTAACCAGAACTTGCAGCTATTCAACTCGAACAGTTTAATCTTTACCTTGAACACAGAATTCTGGTTCGTTCATGTTTCAACAGATATTTGGGTGAGCCCAGCCAAATTCTTTCTTTCTTTCTTTCTTTTGGGCGCGAGGACAATTTCGTCGATATGAATCATTGCGCGCGTCCTCGTCGAATATCTTGGTCACGAATATCGCCGAATGACGCGCGCGGCGCGAGTGAACGACGCGCTCCAGGAAAAACGTTGTTAACACAATGTCCCGTTTGCTTCCAGGACTGGTTCTCCCGGCAGCAGCTCGTGATGCTGGTGCTCTTTATCAACATATCCCTAGCCTTGATGTTCTTCAAGCTGCTGACGTAGCAGCCAGCCGACGATCGGGTTCACGGACTCGTGGTGGACGTGACCTGAGACCCGACGGCGTCGCGACGACGCCTCGGGTCGTCACCGAAGCAGAATTTCGACAGGGGCAATGACGGAGGGTGCGGCCGCACTGAAAACCACTGGCAACGACTTTCGCGAGCGATCCGCTCGGTCTCGCGCGGACTTCGCGCGGGGGAACAACCGAATTGGGGAGCGACGCGAAGTGAGAGGGAGGACTCGCGAGGAGGATCAACCTCGGGCGAGGATTTTGTCACACGCGACGCAGAGGATCGTGATCGAGTTCCAAACGATGTCCAGGATTACGAACGATCGCGAGGACGCTGAAGCGGACGACAGTCGGGAACGGAGAGTCCTCCTGAGATATCGCGGGGACCCGAGGATCGGTCCCCATCTTTTGGATGCTGTAAATTAAAGGGGATTCGAAAGAAACACGCCGAGCGACGCGGCTCGAAGGGGATCCGGAAACGGACGACCCTCGACGGGTTTCGCGTGTCGCGGGAACGATGGCATGTAAAGCGAGCCGCCTTTAAATAAAGTTGTCTCTGCGCTCCGGAAGTTTGGCGCTTGGATTCTTCTCAATCGGCGTGTATCAGTACTCGAGGAGTCGCAATTTTTTCGGAAAGAGGAAAAGAGAATACGACCTCTGTCTCTCTCTCTCCCTCTCTCGCTCTCCGTCGCGCAATTTCGTCGTTCGCGTACGGAGAACGAGAGAGGGAGGGGAGTAAAACACGTCGGCGTGTCTTTTTTGGAAGTGGAGGAGGACGCGTTGCGTACCACCAACGCCTGTGTACCATACCTATTTTTACACGGAATACTTTAATAATGCTACTTGCGAGTATGTGGGTCTGCATGTGTGTGTGTGTGTATCAGAGTAGGTCGAGCTCTTCTCTCGGGCGGGCCTCCGATCGATCGTGCCCGATGCGGTGCGCGCACACGTATCCCTCTTCTTTAGTAATAATTCTTCCTCTTTCCTCGTCCCCTCCCCTTCCCTCTTCCCCTCCCCTCCCTCCAACGGTCGGCTCGAGCGCGGTAATAGCGACGATCGAATTGTTCACGATCGATCTCCATTGTTTATTTCTCTCTGCCTTTTGCTGTTCCGGGAAAGCCGGTCAATTCGCCCGAGCGTTCCCCGTTTCCCGGGAAATACGCCTCGGAATCGATCGTAAAATCTTGTCTTCTGTAACGCGTCAACTCCTGCAAAATGAAAGTTCTCCGACCTGAAAACGTTTTGAGGATTCGCATTAAAGGGGAAAGAACCATAATCGGCCGCTGTTCTCTCGCTACGAGGCAGCTTCTTCAGAGTCGAGTGTAATGCGCGATGTCGAGCACCTAGGACTCTCTGCGCTGTGAGCGTAGCGACTTACAATTTAGCAATGATCGTAATTGTAGCCGTAATTGGTGCCGACGCGCAAAGAGTAGATTTGTTAAGAAACGAAAAAAAGACGCGCGAGCATTTATAGCGTGTCGCGGCTATCAAGACGCCAGTCGCGAGTCTGTAAGTTGTACAAGACGAATTATTATTAACGAAGAGACGCACATAGAGAGAATTCGTAGTCCTCTAACTTGTAACTCGGGAGCCTCGCGGAATTATAGTTACAATTACTATCGTTGGCGTACATCGAAGTGAGGGGCTTGAGAACCCTTTGTCCCGTTCCCTCCGCCTCGATTTACATGTCTCCGCAACGGACCGACGGCAAAGTGTGTCAGCGTGACGTTAAATCGCGCGCAAATCAGGCCGAACGTCGTCGCTTATATTGAGCGTGTTTTCGGCGAGAGATCGAAGGTCGAGCATTTCTAATCGTCGATGCGGCGGAGGTCGACGTTGTTTTTTCCCGACGCTCTGCGTTTGTGGGGCGCACACACTCCCGCATCGGAAATGCGGATGACGCGTGGCGGCACGATATAGTTCAGCGCGATAACGTCGTTCTCATCAAGACGCAAAATCGCGCGACCCTTGTACTTATAAACAGGAGCTCCTGTAGATACGTCTCACTCGCGTATCGAGACCGAATCGAGTCCGATCTCATTTCGGACGAGACGTCGCGGCCGCCTCGACAGGCGCGACGCGAATTGTTACTCGCGAGAATAAAACTGATACTTGAGACTATAAGGCCAAAGTACCAAACACTGAATACTAATGATACTGTTATTTAACTATGGACATTTTTATTACTTTTAGCACTTAAATACGAGAATATTTAATTCAGATTGTAAATTGGCCAAGGAGAGCCTAAAGCTGATGTATGGGCACAATATACATATTCATTATAATGTATGTGTAACATATTCATTATAATGTATGTGTAATTTATAATTTTATACATTATAATAAATGTATATATTGTATTTGTACATCGACCTCAGGTTTTTATTGGCCATTTACAATTTCAATTTTTATCAGAGCCGTTTTCTCTATTATTAACGAATATTTAATCTTTAATATTTAACCTTTTTTATCGATTTTGTTTGATAAAAGTACAATTTTTTTTAAATTTTACTTTATTGATATATTAATATAAAATATAACTTTTGCAATAAAATTAAAAGTTTTATGTTCGTCGCCAAAAGGATAAAGCTGGAACATTAATGTTCCACTAGAGTTTTGGGGCGGGGCCTAATTGTCTTAACGTATCAATAAATAGAGTGATAGTTGATGTGTTTTGGATGTCAGGAAAACTGTTTATTCAATTGAATGAGGTTATTATGAAAAATATATGTCCCGTTGGTAGCAAAAGGATTAAATTTTTTACGCAGAATATACAAGGAATGTACAAAGTGACGCATTTTAATTAATACAGTTGGATATTTGGGAAATTAAGGAAGATATGAAAAATTAGTTTAAATAAAAATTGTAGGATTTTAAGGTGGGAAAAAATGCTAATATTTATTTAATCTTGAATAAACCTGAAAAACTCTGTCAATGTTAATTTAAATTTTTTTAATGAAATTACATAATTCCTCTAACATAAATTGATTTCTCTGATCATTCTGTATAAAACCTAATAAAAATACTGGGATAAAATTGCGTCGAGAAAAATGAATATATATTTTTCGAGATATTTTATATTTTATATTCTCATATTTTTTTAGTGTAAGATATGAAATATATTTCGTAAACTATTCATTTTTCAACAAGCTCACTTTAATGCTTTTGTATGTAAAATGACAAGTAAAATCAATTATTGTAAGAAAAACAAAAATTTTAAACAAAATTTCGTTACATTATGCAGATTTATTGATGCACCAGATATGCAAAAATTATTATCGCTGACCTATTTCTCTATCATCATGCTGCACACAAAATTATTAAGGTACGTTATCGAGAAGTTAATAGCTTACGAAATTTTTATACTTTGTGCTCAAAAGTATGATAATAAAATTAAAATATCTCGGAAAGTACTCTTTTGACGATTCTTTACTTTTATATACAGAATGATCAGAAAAGTCGATTTATGTTAAAGAATCTATATGATTCCATTAAAAATTAAAGTTAACATTGATAAAGGTAAATTGTTCAATTCAAGATCAAATAAATATAGTATCTTTTTTTCTTTTTCGAAATTCTACAATTTTCGTGAAATAGTTTTTTGTTGTTTCTTTAATTTCCAAGATATTCAGCTGTATTAATTAAAATGGAACACTCTGTAAGTGTATGTATACACACATATCAACACACATACATACACATACATACACATACATATCAAAAGGTGAAATATTCGAATTTAAAGGCCAAAACAATAAGAGTGCCCAGAATTAGGTGCCAGTGTTATTAGTGTCCAGGCATTGGTGCTTTTACCTTAAGTGGCTTTTTTGATCCACGATGTCCGTGATCACGTTTGTCTTGTATTTTTGTAGGGACGCGAAGTCGCGTTTTCCCTCCCGCGTTCTCGCGATGGTTCAATGATCGGCCTTCCTGCGCTCGAGCGATCGCATTTTTCCTAGTCTTGGCCATAGCTTGTGTATCTCTAGGTAAATTTGTAAATAATCAAATGTGTAAAAATGTCGACTGCGTCGAGTTCGTCCACCGCCACTACGCGACACCGTCCTCGCGCTCCCGATATGAGTTTTGATCGAATCGTCGGGATCACCTCTGCCGACTCTCGAAATGACTCGCCCTTTCTTTCCTTTTTCCCTCTCTTCTTCTTTTTCCATAACGAAGCTTCCTATGCCGCTTTGGCAGTGCCAATAACGTAGCCACTATACTTCCGCGAGAGTGAATTTTCGATTGACGCTACTACTGCGATACACAGCCGGAAAATGTATTTGCATTCAATCACACGCCGCTTCAACCGCGAAGGGAAATCCCGATTCGAGCGCGAGCACGCGACGCAAAGTGACTCGGAGACAAGGGACGAAACGAATTCGATGGAGATTGTGCACGGGGCGATATTTTCCACGTTGTTCGTGTTGAAAAGCCGCGAAGAGCGCAAGAGGAAGAAGCGATTCTCGTCCGCCACTGTGAGGCGACCCGTCTTCTCCGAGCGTGTCGGACGCGAACTCGCTCACGGGATCACCAAATTCAGCGATGTTGTGCCCGCGTTTGGCATTTACCTCACTGCACACTTGTACCTGACAGTAATTGAAACTTGGCGGAATTTCGCGCTAGATTACCAACGAGGGGGAATGCCGAGAAGGGGTTGCGGAGGAAGTTGTCGGACAGAAATGCCAAACGTGCGCCCAGCACGTGGACCAAGAGCGAGTCTGAATGTCCTCGTTGTTTTAAGGGGGACGGGATTACTCGGAGAGGAGAAAACCGAAGGGGAAACTGCATAGGCACAAAATACGTGCGAATGTTTCGCGTTGGCAAAGAGGACCGACTTTTTGTCTCTCACGAGGCGTATCCGCGCGTAAATACTATTATACCTATTATCGCACGCACATTCGCCGTTGTGAGATTACGTATTGTATATACATATAAAACTGAGTTAGTTAGTACGAAAGAGCAGCTATATAGGAAATTTGATATCGAGTTTCTTGTCGGGGCGGAATCTACGGAGAAGAAGAGAGATTTGGACAAAGGACACAGGAAGAGAGAGAGAGGAGGAGAGAGAGACAGGCGTCATTTCTGTCACCAAAGTCATATCACTAATCAAAGAAATCTTACGAAATTTGTTTCGCGATTTGCGCGCGCTATATCATAATGTGTATATATACATATATATATATGCGTACATACGATCATATGTATATTTTACCTGTTATCTCTTGACTATTATCACAGTTAGCACACATATCTCTCGTTATTATTGTATATTATTATTATTATTACTATTATATCATCGTCATTGTTACTATTATTATTATTATCATTATTCGAATTACTATTATCGTTATCGTTATTATTATTATTATTATCGCCATATCATCATCATATCGACGATTACGCAAATATTTGAAACGAAAGAGACGGGCGTGGGGGAAATTTTGGTATTTTGCAAAAACATGCGATCACGACGCTAAAATCGGAGGGCCCACTGTCACTATTAATTTGCGCAAGCAGTGATTCAATAAACTTGTATCATAACTGATAAACGACTTTGTTATTGACGTGA